CACCAAAGGTAGGCACATGAGGGGGGTAGCATATATATATATATATCATACATACATATATATATATGTTATATGATACATGATATATGATGTATGACATATATATATATATATAGGTTCAGTGTAGGAGTAAACTTCGGCTTGCCATCACGTCACTGAGGAATCCCGCGGGGAGGTACTGGCCTGAGGGCGACACAAATCAGCACCGATCGAGGCAGCCAAGGCAGAGATGATTCAAAAGGGCCCGGACATCTCTGCTGCCATGTCTCCCTGCACCGAAGTACTAGTGGACGGCTATTTCCATGAAAGTGGTGGCTGCTTCTGAATGTGCTTGGAAACCATCTGACTGCCAGTAAAGTGAACTATCAAATGGGCAGACAACCCTACCCTGTGCACGAGCAATTCTGCACAATCCGAGACGCGGAGACTTGAACACATCATGTTCTCCAAACCAGCTCAATTCCTTGGACTATGGCCCCAGACTGCAAAGTGAAACCACATCTGGGCAAAGCTGTGGCCTTCAGCGGGCCCTCGCACCTGCAGACGAGATCTAAATGCCTTCACCAAAAACAAACCAGGAAGCAGCTGGGGACCCCTTCCTCGGGCAGAAGCTCTGGCAGGGCCTCAGAACTGCAGGCTGCAACGCCTACAAATGCGTGAAATTCTCTTGGCAGGTTGCTCGAGGCTTTGATCGGCGCCGGATGCCCGTGGACCTTGACATGAGCGTGATTGGTTAGTCGACGTGCCTAAACCATCTTGCGTTCCCAAGCCCCGAACATGAAGGTGGGTACTGGCATGACGATGCGGTTTGCCTCATGCTGCCATTGTCGCGAAACAAGGGTCCTTTCGACAGCACAAGGCCGGGGCCAAGGACGCCGTGACTTCCTTCATCACTGCCGCGGGAGGCAAGGACTTCGCACCTCGGCACAGCTCCCAATGGAAAGGCTTCTGGAACATGCAGCTGCACAGCAGCGCTTTGCGATGGAAAGCCCCGCACTCGAAAGGCTAGGCCAGGATGCGAAGCTCGTGCTGCTCAAACCTGTGCTCAGATTGGGTCCAGCGCCTCTTAAACCCTGAAACAACGTGCCCTGACCGCCTCTGTGCTTCTGGGGGCTTCTTCGCCCGGACAGGTGAGGTCGCCGACAAGGCCGACATGGCCTCGCTTGCATGGCCGTGTGAAAGAAGATGTGGCCAAATCAGCCAGGAGCTTGACTCGACGTGCGCTGCTGCAGCCTCGCTTTTCAGAGAGGAGTAAAGGAAAGGACCTGTCTCCCAGCTTCCGATTTGGCTCTGGGATACGAGCTGCAGTGAGGATTTCCGACAGTGGGCCGCAAGGTATCTCGCCTGAGCTCTTCATGCAGCCAGGGGTCTAGACACGCCATTGTAATGCGTCTTGAATACGTGCCTCTGTCACATCCGCTGCCCCGAGACCTGGGGGCACTCGGAATGCTTTCTATGTTTTGGATGACATCTGTTGGGACTCCTGCTCGGCGCCAATCGTGGGCAAGACTTGGGAATTGGCTCGCGCCCTTGCAGAAGCACACTTGTCTGCACGCAGCTGTAGCAAGAAATACGTCAACGAGATTTGCTTATCGCAGCCCGGTATCTTGCATGGGCAAGCTGTTCATGTGTGCAGAATGTACGAGTATCCTCGGATCCCACCACGGCTACCTGTCCAACCCGGAGTTTGCTTCTGAGTACACTCTCATCTTCCCATGGCGCAACCAGGCCCCAGTTCTGCAAGCTCAGTTCTGTGGCGAGTTTCGTTCAAGCTCTTGACAGCTTGAAATATGGAGGAGGCCATGATTCCACAATCGACTGCACCTCCATCAAACGAAACTGAACTTTGCATCGCACGCTTGCGCACCACCACGTCAAGCGACGATCGAGAAAGGGCAAGAGAAGCCAAAATTTCAACCACCAGTGGATTCCACAGAATATCAAGCAAAGCCGCCAAGCTTGCATCCAGAGCCCCGGAATCCCGGCAGGCAAATGCCGGGAGATACCCTCTGTGGCCAATCTGCATAACTTGCACCCTACGCTGCCGGCATCTCTCCTTTGGCCCTACCGAGAGAACTTGGCCTTGTCGTGACTGCAGTGCTTTTTGGAATGTGCGATCTGTGCCCCCACTGGCTCACGACTGGCAGGCTCGGTCCACAACCCCTCCAACATTCATTATCCTTCCAACCCCCGAGCGTAAGGCAAGCACAGGTTCGGCGACGCCGCCGGCCAAAGACCTCCAGTTGCAGCTGTCAGAATCACCCTGGCACAACGTATAATTGGGCCGTGCACCACCCGGCAAGGACCTGTCAAGGTTAAAAGTCTTTCCAGCCTATCGTAAGCCTTCCTTCTCGAGTTCTGCCTACGATGCACACACACACACACACACAAAGCACAAAAAGGGCGCACCGCTGAAAGTCCTTCCCGTCCTGAGCGTGCGCCTAGCAGCCGCGCGTCCGTGTGTCTTGCCTCTCTTCTGATATCAATCAGCGGACCTCCTGCTCCTCGGATGTCCTGAAACACTCCAGCCTTGCATGAGCGAGAAATATGGTGACATCATGCAGTGCTTGTCCGGAAGAAAGCTTGAAGTGACCGTGCTTGGGCTGGCACATGGAGCATACATCATCATTGCTGGACGGCAGGCCCGAAGCTGCATGCCCACGCCTTGGTCTTTGCTTGATGAATACATGGGATGAAGTCGGAGTATCCAGTTTGCACGGCTGCAGTTGGACAGCTAAGTGCACTGCAGCAGGCTTTCCAAGTCAGCCGCTCGAAGCTCTGGCAGAACCTGCAGGACCCTAGGCCAGGGCATCCTAGGACCCTACTTAGGGGGCTACAGAAAGAAATGGGACTGCGCTAAACCCATCCCAGGCTTGGGCCTTGAGCAGCTTCTTGCACTCCTTGCTCTTCTCAAAGGCCTTCGGTAGTCCTGACGGAGAGCGCGTGACCCAGAGTGTCACATTGAGCTGAAGCTTTGGGCATCGTGCGTTTGGACAGCATCCTCGCCCGACTGCCTTAAGGCAGAAAAGTCTTTCTGAAGCTGATCCGATGAGTTAGACAGGACCTTGCAAGCCTCAAAGGACTCTTGTCAAAGACCTAGGCTCCTGCTTGGAAGATTGTCTTGAGGCTTGCAATCTCGCTCTTCGTGGAACTCCCAGTCCTCAGCGCCATATTAGTAGTGAGACATCTCAGAGGGCGGCGGCGGGAAAAAACTCAAGGACCTGCAACTGCGCTCTCCGGGGATCTGGCTGCGTCAACCTAAACACTCCCAAAGTCTTCAGTCAAAACTCGAATCGTGGCCGCAGCGGGGGCCTCCTGCCAAGCGACCCTTTCCAAGACGTCGAGGCTGTCTCGGCCTTGCAAGAGTTGCTACTCGTTGCTTCAAGCCGAAGGCCCCTAAACCCCACTTCTGAGGCACGAAGCACGCATTTCCAAGATCCTCAATGAGACTGCCCTCCTTCGCCTTTTCGCGGCGAGGGTTTGTTTTGCTAAGCCCATGGAGCACACTTCCGTTCCGTGTTCTGCGGCCTGCGGGCTGTCGGAGGAACTCGAACTGGATGAACCCGCGTCGTTGAATGCTTTGGCTGCCTTCAGAACTCATCGAGAAGTGAGGCCGGCGATTGCTCGCCGACTGTTGCGCCAAAGCTCAGGCGTGTGCACCGGGGAGCTGCCGATGGAAGTTGGACAGCCGCGCATAAGATGCACTGCGAGCCTCGACAGAGGCTTGGAACCACGCTTTCACTGTCAGTACGCACTTAGCTCTCCAAGCTGCGGGCCAGCCGTGCACACGCGGAAGGTCCCAAATTGTCGCAAGCAGCCTGACGACACAAGCCGCGGAGGGTGGCCGTTGCTACCAGATTAGCTCGATGTGTCGGGGGCAATGGCACACCACTGAGTCTGACAGCGACCTCCATGCGCATAAGGTACTCCATCAGCAAGAGGCCTCGAGACGTGCTTGCTCTAGAATGCATGCTCGTCGTCGAGCAGCTCTAGATGTGGCACTCACAGGAGCTCTAGGCAAGTGGAGTTCTCGAACCTTGTGGTTGTGAAGTTTTTCCCTAATGCATCTTGGCCTGTAAACTCTTTGGTCTTGGCACGTGCTTACTGTGGGCTCGTAGCGGCTCATGTGCGGCTGCACCTGCAGCTGCGCCGCTTGAATTTTCGTTATCTGCACGACCCATACACACAAGCCATGCCGGGGTAGCTGACATGATCGATGCTGACTGTCTCGAACGCTGCTGCACATGAACATAGAATGGAAAGCCCGATTTGCCCTTAATGTCAAGAGGGGGTTGAGGTTACAGGTCTTCGTTCCAAAGCTGTGGCGAGCAGAAGATTCCTAAAACATCGCGAGCGCAAGTCAGCAAAGACAAACGAAAGAGTGACAGTTTCAGCTGGCGCCGGACATCGGAAACTGCAGGGGCAATAGCAATGAATCGGTCGCTGGAATTCTGCAGCAGACTGGTAAAACCTGATACCACCGATTCACGACCCTCGAGCAGTCGGGGCACCACGAAGAGTCTCTCAGCTGCAATGCGAAAGCTAGAACATTAACCCAACAGTTCAAGCTCAGCAAAGCACCCTAATGTGCAGACCTAGGCCGTGGCCTTCATAAGGCACGATATTTCAAAACCCAAGATGTTAGGACTCGGCTGAAAAAACTCAATCACAGAAGGACCATTGGTTAAACATCTTCTCTTGCTCGACCTGCCCCACATGTTCTCTGACTACACTATTAGAGGCTGAGTACCTTAGCCAGTACCTTAGCCCAAAAAGGCTAACCTTTCGAATTATAGTAGGATCATATAAGCCCCAAAGGTCCAAAAGGTTACAGGGCACCTACTCAGCCCCTGAGAAACACGTATTGATGCTGTCGACCTTCCTGACCCAAGGGCCAGGCAAGAGGCCATGTTCGCCGAAGAGATGGGAGGGGGCCTTTCGTCAGCCTGAGGCGTTGAAGGCCAAGCAGGAGTCAAGTTGAACCACGGCAGGCCTGGCTTGCATCCTCCGCCTGAAGATCGGCTTTTGGTCGAGAAGTCTTTCCTGCCACGAAATTTTAAATACCAGCACACCGAATGTCGGTAGCATGTTTCGGAAAATGATGGTGAAAGGCTTGGACACGGTATTTTGGAAACCTCATTCTGCCACAGATTTCGAATCCTAGTCTTAGCCAGAACCATTTCCCGATGAATCATCGCCGTGTCCTGAAAGGCTTCGTAGTGTGCGGCGGGCAGCCATGAGCGCGTACTGGCGACACGGGCCACATGGGGAAGTAGCAGTTGGCTTCAAGAGAGACAATGCCAAGGCTGCCAAGGCCTCTCGGTCCTCCAAGCTGCTGCCAGGGTCTGCCACGCTGGGCGGGAGCAGTGACACAGAAACAGCAGGTACTTGTCCGGACAACGGCTCCTGCCACAGCTACATCTCAGGACTTTTGGTTATGGCTCACCGGGAGATTCTGCGCCTGTCCTTGGGTCCCAGGATGCTCTCCAGGTCCCCTACAGCTCGTGGTCGATGCCACTCTGGCTGAGTGCTGCCTTCTGGCAAGCCCCTCACAGCTTGCACAGCTTCTGTCTTGTCTTCAACCCGAGACCCCTCGGCCCGCAGATCGGGTCTGATCATCTCCGTCGCCGACCGCAGCGGGGCTGGTCCATAAAGAATCGAAGCCAAGATTTGCGACAGCGAAAGAGGTGCAGTGGGAAAGCCGCTGCGAGAGAAGCTTCCGGGCTGCATGCGGCCCTCTGATATGATGCCGTAGCGCTTCACGGCCGCACGCGTTGGATAAAGGGAGACGAAGTTTCGACATCGCGCACGCTCACCGATGGACTTGGCGATCATCTTCAGAGCTGATTCAGGCAGCGCATTGAGAACAACGGGTGGAAGATTCTCATCGACGGGAATGTCCTCCTTCGCGCATTCCCCTCTCCCGTTGGTTGCCTGCTTCCACGGCTGCGCATGATTCCGGGCTCTGTCTTTGGGGGTCCCTCTCTCCGGCGAGCTCACGCCCACAATGTTGAAGGTGTCAGCCAACAACGAGCTCTTGATCTGCCAGTCAAGTGGGGATTCTGCTTGCATGCTTGGGCTTAGGTTCACCTCCAGCAACCATGGCTTCAATTCATCATCTACCAGCACGTCAAATCCGTAGAGCTCGAAACAGTTTTCCCTGCCTGCCAGAACTTGTCTCGTTCTGCTGCTGATCGCGGGCTCCACCGACATCAACGTCTTCACAATCAAATCCATGATGCGAGTCCACATGAGATCAACATCCACTCCGATACAACGCAGGTGCTTGTTCAATGCAGACAAGCTCCACTTGTGGCCAACATTGTCGCAGCGAAGGTCACTATTTTCCACAAACGTGCACGAGTTTTTGTTGATTGAGTAGTTTGTCAAATGACGGAAGGCGTCCTGCATGTGATCCGTTTGTGTACTGTAAGGTGCTGACGCGAAGCGAGTAAGTCCTTCACGATAGATATACGCTTTCAAGGGGTCGAAGGAAGTCACCAGCACATACACTCGCAGGTCAAACTTGAGGCCTTGAATCAACAGTGGATTCATGATGTACCGTGAAACCACGACCGTCTCGTCGACAGGAAGCTCTGAGAGATCTTGGAGGATGAAGATTCCTCTACCTCGTGAAGACGAGTTGGGCTTGACAATCCAAGTGCATCTCGTCCTCTGGTAACATGTCAGAAACTCATCAAACTGTTCTGGCAGCACGTAAGTCTCCGGTACGAAATCGAAACACCGCTTACCATAGTTTCGTGCCATCTCCGCGAAATGATGCCAGAGGCGATCCTTTCGAGTCAACTCTGTTGAACCGGGGAAGTGGTTTATCCTTTGCCATTCAGTCATACTCTGGTATACAGCATCTTTGATGTTGGGCCCAGACCACTGGAGCACATAGTCGTTCCCAAGGGTTGGAACCATACCGTTGTGAAGGAACGTCTCTTGCAGGAGAGGGGCGTCCGCGGCGTTCAACAAGAATGCTGGCACGCCCGGGGAGCGACTCTTCGCTGCAGTCCTGCCAGAAAAACAGATGCCCTTGAGTGTTGAGATCGAGGGCGCTCCATGTTCTCTCAGGCTCCGGCTGCGAACATGCCCTGCTACCAGAGAATGGCACTGGTCGAAATCTGAGTGCACTTGCAGATCGGGCTCATGTTGTCCCTCGTTGACGGTCTCTCTTCAACTGAAGCCTGTTAAGGCTTCGGCTGCATCATGGGACGGTCTAAGCCACGGCTAGAAGCCGCAAGCAACACCTTGACACGTTTGCACGCGCTTCTGAAGGACACACAAACTCTTGCAGGCAGACAACAGGCTCCAATTGGCCTCTGCCAGCCGACCTTCCAACTGCGAGGACGTGGGCTCGCGGCTTGCAAGATCCTCGTCCTGCAGAGCACGGAACGCCATGGTTGCACTCAGCCACTGGCCGCTCCACCCCCCCCGTCGCCACCTCATCTGATGTGTAGCCAGGCACCTTCTGCCACAATTCCCGCGTAGGCTGCTGCATCCTGGCTTGCTTGAAAACTTCGGTATGCAGGTGTCGCTGAAGGCCCTTCGAGCTCAATTGAAGCATGCTGCCTTTGGCACGCAGCTGGAGCAGGGCACCCCTGGTGCTATCCTTGCCTGACAACACACCATGGTGCGAATGCACAGCATGAAAGTCTGTGTCCAGGCCCTCCTTGTGCACGGGTCGCGCACATGTTCTTCGGAACTACAGTTGTTGATGCATAGTTGTCTTCATCTTCGGTCTATGCATGCAGTCACACTGTGTGAAATGATGACCTCCATGCTGGCCACTCATTCATGGCATGGTCATGAACTGCTCTCCAGCCAGTAGAGCATGTGACTGCCTTCTGTGTCCGCCTGTATCCCCCCTATGATACTGCTGTTAAGCCAAGGTCGACGAGAGCACATGAGATCACAGCATGCATGATGACGTGACACAGCCTCAAACAGAAGTCCAGAAGATTCTGCTGCAGCTGCGGGTCACAACCTGCATCTTCGTATGATCCTCTGGCGAGGCAGGTGGCAGAGCCTCCCGACACAGCCGTAAAACGATCGCAACAGTCGGCCAGGCCGCCTGCATATCAGTAAGGCAGCGACCCGGTGGAACTCGTTTTCTTGCTCGTCAAACCTGGACGCGAGCTCAAATCCAAGCCCCCCTCTCCTCGGGCCGCTCACCCGACCATCAAATCGAGAAACAAACCGCCCCTCAGGACGGCACGCAAATCTTTTGTCCGTCTTGTGCTGGAACACCTGCCAGATGCTGTCGCACAAGTGCCGTCCGGAGGTGCAATGCGGCACAACTAGCACGAGATGCCATGCAGACTTCGTAAAAGCGCCGCATTGGCACTTCCGGTGAATCGACACCTGGCAGAAATCTCTCCGACAAGCCAAATCTCTCTTCAAGACGGCACGATGAAGATGGTAGTTAGTGGTGCCACGAGTCTAAACCAACACTCTGGACGAGAAGCAACTGTGATCACACCTGCCTCTGCCAGAGGCTGCGTCTAGCTGCTCATACTCCCCTTTGGTGTACCTAGCCGACACAAGATGCCAGCATGGTTACTTAGTGGACGCTGGCCAGGAAGCGGTGGTCGGCCGGGCTTCTCCACTCTTAACAGAATTCATAACTGTTATAGGCCCTCAGTGCACGCTGACATCGCGGATCGCGGCTGCAGCCCACCTTGCGCTGATGGCAGGCCACGAAATGGCGATAAAGAGACATGGCACAACGTGAACAGCAAGGCAGGAGGAGCTAAGCCGGGCCTCCGGACAGTCGAAACTTAGCCTGAAGCTTTCGAGAGGGCTTGCGCGGTCCTGTGGGAGAAGACCCCATACCAGAAAAGTTGACACGCTTGGCACTGCCATGTCACCAGGTCCTCCTTGCTTCAGGAACGCAGCAAAATGAACCCTAGAAGGACATCTACAGAGTCAAACTTGCAAAGGTCTTCGCCTTCGCTGAGCCACGGGGACACGAAGTTTGCGAGATGATGAAACGCAGCGACACGATGACAACAAGCACAAGACAGGGGAACAAGGAGCCTCTTTCCGGCAGCGCACCAGACAAGAGTAAGCTTTAAGGACACCCTTGGCTTCAGACGGCCTGTGCATGCTGCCTGAACCGCACGGGTGCGTTTTTGCAGGCGGTAATGGGGCTTAGCCCAGCGTCCTGCATTGCGAACTTCGTCGAAGGCTCTCTGTACATCGTAGAGCCAGGGCTTTCTCCCACTTTCGTTACAGAGCCCCAAGCAATGGGCCGATGCGACTCGTCACTACATGACCTTTCCAAGAGAAAGAGTGTCTCGAGCATTGCTTCAAGTCTCAAGAGTTTAGGCACAATTCTGATCTACGTTCGAGTCAGGTAACAGAGACAAGACTGGCGCTTGAAACTGAAAACTGAGGCGGAGACATCGCACGCACCAGACTTTGGCGAGTCCTCGCATTCTACAGTCGTGAAAAGAGCTGCATGTCGGCATGAAGATGAGCCCCACGCAGCCTCCGATTTCATTGGGGTGGCGACAACTGCAGGTTCGCTGGTTGACTCCTGAATTCCAACCAAGTGACTTTGATATCAATATCACAAGATGTCGATGCTACAGTATCATCCTGTGCAAAGCTCATGGTGCCAGAACGCATCTGCAGCCTGAAGTGCAGCCAGCTCAGGCAAAGGCTTCTTGCACTCACCCAACTATTCGAGGCTGCTGCTGTCTTGCAGTTTTTCTCGCGAGCGCTTGGATGTCAGGAACCTGCTCTCTGACGTACACTAGCACAAGGACAGATGATTGGACGGAAAGATCCTTTGTTCATGCAGACCGGCAGCTGAATCCTTCCACGTCTGACCCCTGCAAAAGCTGCCGAGGGCCTGCATAATGCCGATGCCACGGAGGGGTGCTGCAGTGCGTATTCTCCTGCCTGGAACCCCCATCGCTCTCCATCTCCACCACCCCTGGATGGATGAATTGAGTGAGCAACGGCCACGTGCGAATACTGAGTTCGCGGCTCCCTGAACAGTCTGGCCATAATAAGCCCTCGCTCACCGCGGCCCTCTCGCAATACCTGAGTGCACAGATGCCATCGTTTTGCATTCGGTCTTTCTGGTTTGGGTTGCAGCTCGGCCTTTCTCAAAAACTTGAGTTGACTTGGTCGGATACCCGGTAGTACACAACGGACTGGCACCCAAAGCAAAAACCAAATCCCCAAACAGGCTGTTTTTAAAAAATGGGGACTGGAAGTCAGACCACCGCTTTGAAGGAATATGTCCCTCGTTATGGGCTCAGAGGGGATGACGTGTCTACGCAGAATTTAGCGTCCTGACGCATCCTTTCCTAATTAAGCAAGCCCATACTCGCAGTAAGACAAACAATCGTCCCGTCGATCGGCACCTCTTGAAGGTCTGCGAAGAGTTGCACTGTTAAATGCCAACACTTCGTGTATCCTGGCTCGAAGACTGAGGAGAGTGCATAGCGAGCCATCTCCTCACCAGATGAATCCAATATGCGGCCTTCAAGCTGCAACACCGCACAGACTCTGAAGGCGTAGTCCAACGTTTCGATGCGTCCGGCAAGAAAAGCAGCTGTGACTGAGGCCACGGCAATACGCGTTGGACACCTTCTCAAACGTGACTCCACGAGTGTAAACCTCGTCAAGCTTCAATCGAATCGGCAAGTTCCGGCAAGCCTACTCTGAGACCGCAGCATTAACCACGAAAACGATTTGATGAATGTCCGCCTGGCGAGCACAGAAACTCACCACATAAATTGGGCGGGAGCAACGTGCAAGCTGCACCGGAATTCGTTGAAGATTGGCCGTGATGACCTGCGGATTCTGGTATGCTGCGTGCTAAGGTCCAGGGCCAAAGGGCGGGGCCTCGTCATCCCCGTCGCCCTGACGGAATGGTCAAGAGTCAAGAGTTCACAACAGCAGTAGGCTCGCGCCACTGAGACCTCCGAAGGGCGCCTCGCCCGTGAGATTATCCCCACTGTGTGTCAAGGCCCAGCCCTGTCTCAGGCGCCACTTCTGATGGCTCGACGAACCAAGGCACACGAAGGCCTCCAGCTCGCCGAAGAAGACGGCACCCTTGACCTTCGGCAACTGGCAAGAGTAGCTCGGGTGCTGTGCTTTGTGGCACAACCGAAGCATGAATGTGCAGGTCATGCAAGACAGAGCCGTAAGGAAACACTGCGCAAAGCATGAATGATTCCCAATGCATTCTCGTAGTTGCACCAAGGATTTCATGGAAATGTATCTGGGTGCCTCGCCTGCCCGTCACCACCCACAACAACTGCAGACACCTCCACCATTGTACCAGAAAGAGCCGAAAGATTCTTCAAAGCTTTCGCAGCTGAGACTGGGGCGTCCAAGTCGACATCACCACCAGCATCCGGGGACACATCCCACCCTGACTGAACATGCTCATGCGGCGCCTCTCATACCACCTTCACTCAGGCGCACTAGGCCTAGGCAAGCTTGCACGCTGCCGAGGGATTCAGCTTGTGGCCTTTGGCAGCTTTGGCATGCAGAGTCACTGGATGGAATGAGTGTTTCTTGCGACCCGACCACATTTCCAAGGACCCGACAAGTCCACGACCGATGCCTTCTCCATTGCAAAAGCCACCTAAAAGTGATGCCCACTGAGACTGAAAGCATCACAGGCGAGCACGCCCGAAGCACCTTCTGGCGCTTGGGGGCTCCCGGAATTGCAGCACGGATAATGTTCCTTGGATCCGCTGACTTCAGCCCTCTTGTGCTCCACGCTTTGGAACGAGTACAACTGCAAGGAGGCTCCCCAGCACTGGTTCGAGGATGTCGATGAAGTGCCGGCCTGGAACGAGAATCCTGCCGCTTTGCAAGAGGCTCGACACTGGTGCCTTCTCTCGCCGGCTCTTCAATGATCTGCATGTGCCAGCCACTGTCCTTCAAGATAATTCGCGTGCCATCAGTTTTCAGCAATGCTCCTAGGAGGAAATCCAGCCGCTGTGAAACTTGCCGCAAACACAGTACTCAGGGTGACTTTTGCATGACTAAAAGGCAACTGCGACGGGAAAACTACCCATTACTCGCAACACTGCAGCATGCAGTCCGTGCGAAGAATGGATGCAACAGCGTCCACTGCATAGATGCTTTGCTCCAATGCAAAGCATGCCACCTGAGCAGTCACTGTGTTCGAATGTAAGACATGTTGGTCAACGATCTGTCATGTCGGTCGAGTACGACTGTACGGCTCTCAAGATCTTCCACGTGTCAGGACACCTACAAAGCATGGAAAAGCCTAGATGCATGCTTTCATGCGCGCACACACACACACACATTCCTCCACTCTCTCTCCCTCTCCCTCTTTTTCGGTTCGTCGATCACATTGCTGTTGCGACAAGCGACATGCCATTTGCTTAGCTGAACAACATGACACATGCGGCAAGCGGTTGTCAAGAACACCACTGAAACTCCAACAGCACAAGCTGCAACAAGGCCTGGCAGTCTTTGTTCCCCTCCAGCACGTGCAGCTTTCCGTTCTTGGCCTGGTGTGCACGCGCATACCAAGTCAATCGTATATGATGCGGCAGCAAGCAAGTTTACAAACGAGCTTTGAGCTGACACAGCTCGCAGCTTCGCAAACAAGCCCCGGGCATCACGCAAACTGCCACCGCTGTACGCGGCAACTACGAAGATCAACAACCTGCTGAAGCCATCAAACCGCATGAAATTGATAAGTCTGCCGCCAGCACGCTGCCTGATGTTCTCTGGCAACTTTGGCAGATTCACCCAGATAAGCTCGTCGAAACCTTCCTGCGCACATCATGCTGGCAAGGGTAACACAATGCCTCGTTCGGGATGTCCCCCAGCATTGTGTGCTATCCACTCCTTCTGACCCGTCTGCTCATCACCAGAATGAGTTAGGGATCCTTTAAGTGCCTGCCGTGCAACGACTCCGCAAGCATGACTGACACCATCAACAGAACCAGCCTTCATGTTGTTGTAGTACACCGCATCAACTATACATCCTCGATCATCAACTACAACAGCCTGCACCAGCAGGCTGGAAACTAGACCTGCGAAAGCTTCCACGAAACCACCACGAAGGTGCCTGCAAATCTAAATCCACGGCCTTTCCTTCAAGATCCCATGACCTCGGTATTACAGCCACCATCCTTCTTCATAACATACAGGGATACTGTCTGAGCTTCCGACACTGCAACACCGTACCTGCCGAATGAACCCGTGCTTGGGTTTGGGGCATTGTGAAACCGCCGTTTTGAAGTGAATCTTGCAAGGGACAGTGCAAGCCTGGATGACTTCAAGGCCACGTCCTCTGCATGCTTGAGTGCGCCTTGCACAGGCAGCTACACATGGTGAGAGTGCACGCAACGAAGGCCGAGGAATCTGCACATCGCCGCGGCAAGCCGGTGAGTGTGCGCTCGCAACCATACTTCGTTGCCGTTAAGCTGGTGTCCCAGACAAACATTGCTGCTACATGGTCATAAATGCAGTCTTCGGCTATTGATTGCGCACGCACCATCAGCTACTCTGCCGCGTGAGTGTTGGGAATGCTTAACATCCAGAATTAGGACGTGGACATTGCTGTGCAGCTTGTCGTTCCCATCTGCCTACCCTCCCAATTCACGGTCCAGAAAGCTTGCAAAAGCACACACAATCTCATTGCTCTATATTGCATTCCATGTGTTCGCCAAACCTTGCACCACTTCCACTGAAACTGCCGGAAGGCTTTGTGAGCCCGAAACATAAAGGCCATGCATGCACTGCCACCAGCCCCTAGGATCTTGCAGCCCGATACTCTTACCCACATTACAATCTGTGGCAGGAAACAACACTGAAAACTCGCGTGCATACACACACACACACACTGATGGA